GGTCCCTCAATATCTTTGATGGATGTTGGCCAGAAGCTGCCCTCCATTCCTTGCAATGTGGGTCTCTCCACAGGGCAGCTTCCTTCATCAAACCAGCAAGGAAGAGAGTCATTAGAGTCTGCTAGGCAGATGTAAGTCACAATATTAGGTAATATGATTACAGAAGTGGCATTCCATCACCTGTCATATCCTGTTTATTGAAGAAAGTCACAGGTCCCACTCACACTGATGAGGAGGGGATTTTCCAATCTAGCATCTTTATAGTCCCTCTAAATTCTACTTGAAGACTGACTAGCTCTTTTCTGAGTAATAGCCAGCTGACATTTTCAACATTCTGCCAACAGATATTTTTTCTCAAGCCCAAATGTTCATTAGGTACATTTGCTATCTTCCAAGTTACCACAGGTGGAAATATTGGTCTCCATTTTTTTCCAGTCTCCTCTAACAGATTCCTTGCATTTTTCGGCCTCCTATAGTGGTTTTCTCCATTTTTCCAGTCTCCATCCAGCCCTGTTCCAATGTCACATATGTTAGATTTTTGTTCTGGCACCAATTTCTGTATCAGTTATCTATTAATGTGTAACAGATCACTTTAAATCTCAAAGCCTTAACACAAAACATATTTATTTAGCTGAAGAATCTGTAGGCTGGTGATTTAGTCTGGACTTCACTGGGGTGAGCAGTTCTGGTCTTGTCTGGACTCACGCACATGTCTTAGGCCATCAGCTACCCTATGGTTGTCCTGGACAGCTTTGGTCAGACTAGATTAGGCACGAAATTTTCATGACAAAGGCAGAGAGCAATCTCAATTGCATAAGTGCTTTTCAAGCCACTGTCTGCATCATGTTTGTGAACAGCCCATGTCAAACAGCAGAGACCAGAGACAGAGTGGACAACACAACAAAATTCCTTGGCAAAGTATGTGGAAATGGGGACAGGTGAAAAGTTGGCTATTTTTTTGCAACCTACCATCAGGATCAATGTTATATTTGCTTCATAAAAACAATCTGGAAGTATTTCTTTTTTTCCAGTGTTCTGGAACAGATTATATAGTATTAGGATTAACTGGTATGTGAAGATTTGGTAGGATTCCCCTGTGAAACCATCTGACCTAGTGCCTTTTTTATTGGAGTTTCTTTTAAAAAAAAATCTTTTCTATTTCCTTTATGAAAATTAGTCTGTTTAAATTTCCTATCTCTATTGGAGTCCTTTTAGTAAATTATATTTTCCTGAGTTGAAATTTCATCTAGATTTTCAAATTAAATTGCATAGAGTTGTGCAGAATAGTCCTTTAGATTTAAATTTTCTCCTGTTTCAATGTTAATTTTTCACCATTGTTTCTTTTGTGTGTATTTCCGCTTTTCCCCTTTTTTACTTGATTAAGTTAGCTGATGCTTTGTCTGTTTTGATTTTTTTTCAAATAATCAAAATACTATTCATTTACTAATTCTATATTTTCTGTTTTCCTAACTTCTTAATGAGTTCTTATCCTCATTATTTCTTTCCCCTTTCTTTTACTTTGTTATTCTTTTTTTTTCTTTTCTTTTTTCATTTGGCTATTAATTCATTTTCTTTTATTAAAAAGATTTCTTTCACTTTTTATGAATGTTACAATATTTTATTGCTATATTTCACTTATCACTACTTTAATTATATCCCATAGGCTTCATTTTCAATCCTTTTGTAGAAGCTATGAAATTTTGGTTTATATTTCCCCTTTGCCCCAAGAGTAGTTTAATAGAAAGATTTTCTCTAGATGGACTTGAATAATAGTTATATTCTCTGTTACCAAGGTGAAAAGTTCAATTCAGAAGATCTACTTTACAGATACTGCTATTATTTAGATCTCTCATATCCTTACGTATTTTTTGTCTCAGTCTTGGATGAGAGAGTGGTGTGTTAAACTTCTGTACTATTTCTAGGTTTTTGTTTATCTTTACTTCCATAGTTATTTGTTATGCAAATGTTACGTGCTTTGACAAAGTAGAAGCCACACAACTAAAATAATAAGAGAGAAAGAGGAAAGTATAAAGAGCTCTTTGTTGCATAGGCAATAGGTGGGAGTCAAAGAATATCATTTAAAGTTGCTGTAGTGGGTTGAATTATGTCCCCCCAAAACTCTCTGAAGCTTGAATTGTGTCCCCTAAGTTTTATATATTAGAAACTTGGTCCCCACTGTGACTGTTAAGAGGGTGGGAAATTGAAAAGTGGGGCCTTGAAGAGGTGATTAGATTGTAGGACCATGCTGCTGTTAGCATGGTTCTGAGGGCTTTAAAAGAAGATTCTCTCTCCTATCTCTCTCTCTTTCTCTCTCTTTCTGCTCTCTCTGCTTCCACCATGTTGCAATGTGAGACCTCTGGGTCACTGTTGCCACCATCAGATGGACTTTGGACTTCTCAGCCTCAGAAACTGTAAACGATAAATTTTGTTTTCTTTATAAAATACCCAGTGCCATGTCTTTTGTTATAAGCAACAGAAACGGACTAATACAGTTGATAAACCAAATAGTTGAGGTTGTAACATTCAAAACTAGTGTATCTTCATTGTGAATTGTGGCTTCCAGCATCATAAACTACCCTTCTTTGTCTTGTCTAATTTTCTCCTGAATTTTAACTTGTCAGATATGGACATGGTAGTCTTTGCTTTTTGTTCTATTTGCCTGGTATATCTTTGCCCATCCTTTTAATTTTTAGCCTTTCTGCATCACTTATTTTAGGTGTATCTCTTGTAAGTAACAGACAATAAGATGTTGTTTTGTGAGCCATTCTTAAATACTTCTTCTTTTAATAGATGAGTTAAGTTCTTTCACATTTATTAATCTGACTCATATGCTTGGACTTAATAAATTTAGTGTATGTTGCTACATTTACTGCATGTTTTTCACTATGTGATCTATTGCCTTTATTACTTTTCCTTTGGGCATTGAGGGAGATTTGTATTTTTATTCTACTTATTATATTGTTTATTCTGTACAATTACCTTTAATAGTATAATATATCTTTAACCCTCTTAGTACCTCTTTTCTTTATTTAAGCATCAACTGTTTGGTTTGTCAACTTTAAATTATATCCTTTGACTCTCACAAATTGCCTATGTCACAAAGAACTTTTTGTACTTTCCTCTTCCTCTCTCTCTTCTTTTCTGGTTTTTAGTTGTGTTACTTTTACCTTGTCAAAGCATGTACCATTTGATATGATTTTTCTACCAATATTCCCATTTTCATTTTGGTCTTAGATCTACAACCAAAGATATTCAATGCTCACCTCTAGTCTTTTGGTCAAGTATCCCCAATCATGTCCTAGTTGGATGAAGCTTGACTTTAAGTAGAATCTTAAGGAAGAGATTAGTAGTATAATGTTCCCTGAGTTTTGCATGATTACAACTTTTTTCTATATCCTTGATACTTAAAGGACAGCTTAGCTGGATACAAAATCTTTAGTTCATACTTTCTTTGAGTTTCTTGAAAATGTTGTTTCACTGCTTTCTTGCTTTGTTGGAAAGTCTGACACCAACCTGATTTCTTTCCTGTATAAGAGAGTAAGTAGGTCTTTTGGCCTGGAGGCCTGGATAGCTTTTTTCTTTATCTTCAAAGTATAATAACTCACTAGGATATGTCTCAAAGTTGATAATTCTGGGTCAATTTTCCAAGTACACACCAGCCAGTTGCCAAAAAAAATTGTTTTCCAAGTAATAAGAAAGACCCTTTAAAGAGATAGTGTCAGGTCTTCTTTTGTTTTCAGAAATTTCTTTTGGGTAAAGTTTTAAATATTAATTCTGTCCCATTGTCCTATCTTCTGTCTTCAGGGGCCCAGTTTTACCTGTGTTGTCTTTTCTTTGCCTATCTTCTTATCTATCATTTTTTTTCTATGCTTTTTCAACTCTACCTTTATATTGTTTTGTTGTCTTCATTTTTCTTGTTCCTACCTCCTCCATGCCATACCATACCTGAGGTCATATCTATCTTCATTTGGATATGTTGTAATTTAGTCTTCCTATCTGTGATAATTTTATCTTTTTGTTAAAATTCTTTCCCAAGCTTGGTCAGTTGTCTTTTCACATATGTTTGTTGCTTTTTCATTTTTATTCTGAGTTTTTGAATTTCTGATCTGTGGCATTCTTTCATATCCACAATTGTTTGTTTATTTTAAAATTCATGTTGGAGTGTTATGTTAACATTTACTCTGTTTTGTGGTCCAAAAGAGCCCTTTTCTGTTGGTCAATATGTAAAATTTCTTTAACAAGTAATGTCTAGGTTGTAATAGGAGGGTGGTCTGTTTTCTTCTAAATCTTGGACTGCTGTTGTATCCGATGGGCTGTTACCTTTAGCTTCTGGCTTCCTTTTCCCCATTTCATATACCAAACCTCCAAGAAACATCACTCCCTGTAGGATGGCTTCACCTCTATCAGAAGTGATGCCTCTCATCCCACTCATTTTCTAAGCCCTTTCTTTTTGACTTCCCACTAGCCACTGCTCTGACCCACCAGGCCTTGACCTGTCTGCAGCATTTTGTCACTCTGGGTAAGACCACAGTCTAACTGGAGTCCTAATTTGAAAGTGCCTGTGACAGAAGAAAAATCTGGAGGATTTTGCAGGAGTCAGATCACAGAGGACTTCCTAGAAAGGCTTTTGCAATAATTTGAGCAAGGAATAGAGAGGTATAAAGTAAAACAGGAGGGATGGAGAGGAAAGAAAAAGGAACTCACCACCTATACAAATAAAGGAATAAAACTGAAAGTGAGAATCGCAACTTTTCAGCCACTCCAAAATAAAAAAGAAATCCAGGATTTGGGAAATTCTCCCAGAGAAATTACACAATTTCTTCAACAAGTGAACTGCAATAAGAGAGAGAAAGCCCTAAATTGTACCACCTGGGAGACAACCCCCCAAGTGATCTGGTGAGCCCAGGAGTCAGGCAGCCTGTGGTGGAGCTGAAAGGAGGGCACAGGAGGTGGCCCACCAGGCCCGATGGGTTTGTTTGTGTGGAAGGTGGTGAGTTACACCAGGTGGGTGTGGGGAGGGAGGAGAGGTCAAGGAGGGAGAGGACATATGCTGAAAGGAGAGAAGGGTTAGGGCATGTAGAATGGGGTGGGCATGGAGCAGACAAGAGAAGACACTGGGGGCAGTGCCTCAGAGAGCTGAAACGAAGAGGGCAGGAACATCTGGGAGGCTTGGGTTTGCGGAGGAAAGTGGCTGTGAGGTCTGGGGTGTGGGAGAGGACGAACAGTGGGGTCAAGGTATAGGGGGGTGGGTCATGGTTTGGGGAGGAGTGGCCAAAGAATCAGGCTTGGAGAAAGGGACAGACTGTGGTCAGGAGGTGGGGGAGGGCTTTGATTCCTCCATTCTGCTGATTTAGGTCCCCAGATGAGCTTTAATTCTGCCTTTGAAAGGGAAAAAGTCACAATTTTTATTTGACATATTCTGGACTCAGTGTTATCCTGTCTTCTGGGATGAAAGTCAGGCAAGAAGAGATGCTTTCCTGCCCTGGGGCACAAGGGCACAGGGGCACAAGCCCCCATCTATCTTCACGAAGATGTACTGAGGGTGGATTCAGGGCTGGGGTACTCCAAAGAGTCAGCATAGGCAGGCAGGCAGAGCTGCTCAGGACAAGGAAGAGGATCCTTGATGTCTAGGGCCATGTCTCCAAGTGGGATTGGTGAGTCTGGGCAGGCAGGAGCAGCAGGGGTGCCTGGCCTGCAGAATTCACTCTGGAAGCCCCCAGGTCTGGGACAAGATTCTCTGCTCAAGTTTGGCGTACCGGGGGAGGATGGCCTCATAGACCTAGAGGTGTAGAAAGCAGGTTAGAATGGGGGGAAGGGACGGTGCCTCCTACATCTGGTTATAACTTGCAATTCAAAATTTTTACATCCCATTTACTTGCAACTTAACTTTTTCTTTGCTGAGCAAAAAGAAAGGAAGCATCAATTAGCAAAAGAGGAAATGCTAGTAGTTCTCAAACAAATAGACTAAGATCTTTTAAAACTGTAAACTATGAAAAGAAACCAATTTTTAAATCAAATCTACAATAGTTTAAAAAATTCTAGTGAGAGCATCTGGAAATGACTGTCTCATTGCACAGCTGGTGAAAGTTGGTGGTACAACCCTTTGTAAATGAACTCAACTTTATATCTGTATTAAGGAGTCCATAGCCTGTGACCTAGTTACTGTATTTCTGTGAAGCTCTCCTAAGGAAATAATCCTAAATGTAGGGTGCCAAGCCCACCAAGAGTCTTCTTAGACAGCACTAAACGTTCAGACTCCTAAGACTACCATGGGTCACACCTTGGCCCTCAGAGGGCAGATGGGAGAAACACAGCCTGTTGGCTGCAGGTGCTCCTCTTCAATAGGAGACCATGCGGTGTTCCATACAGCTGTTCACACAGCTCCAGGAGAGGGTCTCTTTGCCTCCTTACTCCCCCCACACCCCGGGATACAGTTCAGGCACAAGGAGTTGAGAACCACATCGTACAGGTTCAAAAACCTGCCTGGCTTCAAAACCTCATGCCCCACAGGTATATCCGTTGTAACAACTCCATAGGCAAGAGACATGCCCAGGAGGAGTCACTGCACTCAGGGAAGCCTTAAGTCAGACTTCCTACAAGGTATTTACCATTTTCCTAGTCCAGATGCAGTTTCCCAAGCAAAGGCCATTTAAACATAAGCAAGGCCGTCTAGTAACATTGTAGATATTCCATTTTTATTAGGTGTCAAGGGAAACAGAGCTACAAAGTTAAACAATCATCAAATTCTCATGCAGAATAGAAAGGGTTTTGTTAAAGCTTTACCCACAGAAGGCTAATTATAATCAAAAAACTAGAAGCAACTGCTGTAAGACATGTAAAATGCTCAAGTAAATTTGGTTCCTTAGCCAGACAGAATACTATACAGTCATAAAAATGACATGTATGTGCATTTTTTTAAGAATGAAAATATGTTGTAATGTGGAATTTTAAAAGAAGTGAGCTATAAAATACACAGTGCTGTGTAATAAACCACAACCAAAACCAACAAGGGAAAAAGGACCAGAGAGAAACACAATCCCACATTCTTACCCTTCATTCCTTTTTTCCTTTCCTTTAAGCAGTTTTCGCCTGTGGCTGTTAAGTCTTGCCTAAGAAACACAGGTGCACTTCAGGTGAGAGCACATGTTGTCTTAAAGACAAGCCACATTTAAGAGCAAGGAACCCAAATTTTCTTGGGACTCACAAGTAAACACAACTAGGAACTCATGGCAATCCCATTCCTTCTTAATCTGGCTTAATTAGCTCCAAAGTCAAGTATTTTAATAAAAGATATGCAACCAGGGCCTATTCTTGGTGCAGCTGGAGCTGCTCTGTTTGAGAAAGCTCAGGGATGTTTTTTCAGGCTGTCAGAGAGAATAAGAGAGAAGGAGCCTACTGGTTTCTAAGTACATGATGAGTCTGAGCTGCCTGTGAGGGATTAGGGGATAAAATTTTTTGTCCCAAATGAGGATGATATAACTGATGTACTGGTTCCACCATGTGAACCATTCATCTGTGAAGTACTTGGGAACAGACAACATGAGTAAAATACAGCAAAGCATAACAGGGCCCCCTTCTCCTTTTTTTGGGGGGGGAGCAGCTCGCCAGTATGGGGATCTGAACCCCTGACCTTGGTGTTGTAACAGTGTGCTCTAACCAACTGAGCTAACTAACCAGCCCTTGGTAGCCCTTTATAATGAGGCCCACAGGAGAGGGGTTGTTGGGAAAAATAGGAAAATGTCAGGGCCCCTCAGATGTTCAGAACCTTGCTGAGCATTTGCTGTAAATATCCTCATGTGTTCCTTGTTACTACTTAATGTAAGTTGTGTGTGGGCACCTAGGTGTCCAGGGTTGTGGACTTAAGTATAAAAGACTAACAGCTCTGATCCACAGTGCTTCTCAGAACTCTCAGAGAAGCCACTAGGATAGTTGCCCTAGATCTGAATAAAACCCATTCATTTTTCTATACCTACGGCTCCCAGAACCTTTTTTTTCTATTACCTAGCTCAAAGACCTGCGTGTGGAGGGTTTGTAACCCAATCTGTGCAACAGACTCGAAGGGTCTGTAAGCCCTAGCTTTACAGGGGTCTGAGGCTGTCCCACCCTGGACTGAACATTAAGGAGTCAGAGAACACAGGTAAGGGGGCTCTGCCTTCTCCCCATGGAGGAAATTCCATGTTCACCTGAGCCAATGGAGAAAACACTATTACTGCTCTCAGTTTCCACTTGAGCACAAGCACTGCTGTAGGTGCCATAGAGAGAAAACAGAGGATGTGGTCCTGCTCTCAAGTTTACAGTCCATTCCAGAAATCCGGTCTGCAAATAGGTCATTTAGGCCAGCAATCACAGACTGTCACTGCTTGCACCCTGCTGTCAAGAAGGATTCTGAGGCTACATGGTTTGATGATAAAGAGTCTGATGATGAAGGGTTCCATGGGTTATTAGTCATTTCAGTCCTGGGCAAGCCAGGGAGAGTGGCTGCGCACATACCACCGAGTATTTGCTTCCTATAAAGAGGTTGGCTGCCCTAAAGATTTCCCCAGTTACCTTGTCCCTTGCTGAAGATGGAAGGGCCAGACCCTACCCCAGACTTTGTTACAACAGGGCTAACCATATGACCAAGTGGCAGTCTGCTGGGGGTAGGGGGAGGATGTGTGAGGGCAAGAGACCAGTGTTTCTCTCCCTGATAAGCAAGAAGTGTGTGAGAAAAGACCCTCTGCCCAATGCCACCCTCTGATTCCTGACTTTGAAGACAGCTGTGTGAGGACATGACATGTGGAGCAGCTGCAGACGTCCTGTGACCATTTGGAGCACATCCAGAGCTGCGCTATCCAATACAGCAGCCACAACCACGTGTGCCTTTGTGTACTGGAAACATGTCTAGAACTATGAGTATCAGATGCACACCAAATTTCATATAAAAGTTTCATACAGAAAAAAGAATATAAAATATCGCATTTGTAATTTCTTAAATCGATTACCTCTTGAAATGGCAATATTTGGGATTAAATAAAATATATTATTAAAATTAATCTTACCTGTTTCTTTTTATTTGTTTATATTTTTAAAAAATGAGACTACCAGAAAACTTAGCATGACATAAGTTGCTCGCATGATGTTCCTATCGCTGATCTGAGGAATTGCGGGGAACATTACCCAGGGCCCTGGTGCTGAAACACTGAACCAATACCACGTCCTGACTTTCTATTATATAATAAAATCATTTTGGTCAGGGATTCTTTTTAAGCCTCACAATGAGGTTAAAAGTAGGTAGGACAGATTTTGTACCCACTTCACAGATCAAGAAACAGAGGTTTGGAGATGAGGAATTATGCTCAAGGTCACGCAAAGATCCCATGATGAAGGAGAGGCAGAATAAGAATCAGAACCCTGATGCCCTTTATCTCAATGTAAGATCTTTCCACTGCATTCAGTGGCCTCTCAAACATAAGGACACGTGACAGAAAAAGAACAGAAGCTTGGGCATGCCTATGTGTGTCGTTTGCCTGGTCACCTGGAAAGCATGAGCTCCTGCTTCCATGATATTTGGGAGACAATTCTCCATGGCATTTCTAGAAGTCTTGTGGCAGGTTTTGTTTCAGACTATCTTTTCAAGGATGCTTACAAAGCACAGAGACATAGATGTTGTTTCTCTCCAAGGCAGAGGGAATAATTTGTTTGCTGACAAGGGTAATAAAGATAATGTCTCCTTTGGGGGCAAAGGTTGGACAGGGTTACTTGCAGTTCCTTTATAAGGTTGGGATTTTCCTAAGCTCGGGATCCCTCAGTTGTGACACAGACATTATGTGCACAGCATCTACCTGGCCCATTCGGCATCACCCTGTGGAACTTGGGGGCCACGGGAAACTGATGCAAGCATGAATCTCATGCTACCTGATGTACCATGAGTAATAAAGCCCTTTGTCTGTGACCCAGGAGTCTCATGTCTTCTGCCTGCATCTCTGAAACTGTGGCAGGCTCACTTGTTAGCTTGCAAGTTAGGTAAATCTCAGACCTTTCACAGTTCCTTACAAAATGCACCCACTCCTGTTCCTGGGCTGCAAGAACCTTCTGCAAACAGGTACAGTGGTGTGGTGGATGCTGTGTCCCATCCAGATTCACCTTCAGGAATGAAGAACATATTCTCATTCTGCTGCTGGCAGACAACCCTCAGCTGACAGCCCCCTTTTGGGATGGCTTCAGCTATAGAAAGCAGCCTCACCCCATCCTGAGGTGGCCTGCATGCAGTGACTGATTGACATGGGGTACAAAGACCCGGCCCCCTCAGCCCAACTGGGTAAAACTCTAAAGGCTCATCCCAGTTTCAGAACTTCTTGCAGGACTGGCCGAGGGCTCCATGAGTTTGTGCTGCAGGTCATCTTCTCCCTCTGTTCATCCTGGCTCCTCCTTTTCCCTACACAGGTGTGGGTCCCAACAGCACGCCTCAATAAACCTTCCACATCTTAGCCTACATCTCAGACTCTGCTTTCTGGAGAAGCCAACCTGCTACATGTGGGGTCTGCCTTCATAGGGAATTCCTGGCCTGCTGACTACACAGCTATCTTGGATCCAGACTTGAGATTTAGTGCTAAAAACCCAGAAGGTCTTCTGCTTCAGTGACAGAGTCTTTCAGTGGCTTCTATAGCTCAGCAACATGGAGGGGACCACCACACAGAGCAAAAAGATATGCCCAGCAATTGCTCTGACTCCTGGCTATAAAATCAGCAGTATCTGTGAGTTCCAGTTGACAACCTGCCTTCTTTTGCTCCATTTCTCTTGATAATTTCAAAAGAGGTAGGATTTCCCCTTTAGATGACCACATCAAGTTTAATGTAGGTGACAAAGAAAAACTTATCTTTTTGGAAAAAAGAACCTAGTCAACTTTCAGAATGCAAATGTTATGATCAAATTCTGACAGTCTCTCACCTGAGAAGCTCTTGGCCTTGGGGTAGCAGCTAGTCTGGGATTTGGAGCTAACTTCACAACCTCTGAAAAGGGCACATCCATTCCACCTGCAAGGCCTAGAAGGGAAAGGTCATTTCACGTAAGTGCACGTTGCAAATGAAGATGTCAACCATAAGCAGTTCAAAGGATCTTGCTGGGGTGATAAAATGTTCTAAAACTGGATTGTGGTCATGGTTGCAAAACTCAGTAAACTTACTAAAAATCATTGAATTGCATACTTAAAATGGGCGATTTTTATGTCATATAAATTGTGCCTAAATAAGGTCATTAAAAAAGAAGAAGAAAGAAAAACTTCAAGTGCAGGTCTCTCTTCAGCAGGGGCCTAGTTTGTTTTGCTCACTGTGGCATCAGCCAGTTAACCCTGCCATAAAAGAGAAGGGGAGGGCCTGACCGCCCTTCCTCCTTCATGCTGTCCCACTCCCCACCTCTCACCACATTCTAGCCACACTGGTCTTCATCAACTCACTCTGCCTCAGCGCCTTTTCACTGTGTGGAATGTTCTTCTTTCTCGTCTTCATGCACCTATTCCTTTCTCCTCAGATAAGTTGCAGCTGAGAACATCACTTGTTCGGGGGGTCCTCCCTGACCCTCCAGCCCTAAGCACCATCTGCTTTTCCACAAAGCACTTTTCACAATTTATGACCATATATTTGGGTGATGATTCGTTTAGTGTCCCTCCTTTGCTGAGCTGTAAATTCCATGAGGCCAGAGATTATGTTTTTCTGGGTCACCATTGTAGCCCTGGTGCCTACCACACTGTCTGGCATACAGGAGGCACTCAATAAATACTCACCAAGAAAATGAGTAGCAGGGCTAAAAAAGAGGGAAGGTTGCCATAGGTGGGCAAGAAATAATGAGGATTTTCTAGGCGATTTAAGCAGTAGTACTAGATTGACAGGGAAATACGCCGCTACCAAGAGTGAAGGAGGACCCCCTGAAGATGTGAGGACCAGTTTTCCTAACCGAATGCTAAGAGTTCCAGGTCAGAGCTGTATGCATAGGGAAATGGGATGGGTGGTGAGGTGGTCAGCAGAGAAACTAATCAAAAGACTCTGGTCTCATCTCCACTCATATTCACAGACCGGCTGAATGTGAGATTCACCCTCAGACTTAGCTGGGAAGAAGAGATATCCAAATAAAGTGGCTAATATGCCTAGGGGTGGGCACTGGTGAGCTAGGATTTAGCTCAGGCTTTGGTTTTGGAGGGCAGAGCAGGGCAATGCCCCAGGTACCCTTTGGTAATTAAATGAGCACAGAAAGGAGAAAATAAAAACAAAACACGGTGCGGCATAGCAGTGAGTTCCCAAAGGATAACTCCTTTCCCACTTCTGCAGAAGTAGGAGTATAAAGCGGACCCCATGCTTCTCATCGGCAACAGTGAAGGCCAGAAGATTATGAAACAGTATTTTCAAAGTTCTCAGGAAAAGTATGTTGAACTTAGTTAGTGTTCTTTACCTAGCCATTCTTTGGGAGGGTGAAACGAAGACCTTGTTGGACATGTCAGGCCTCAAAAATCATCAACTACTGAATTCTCTCAAAATATTTATTTAGGTTATATATTCCAACAAAACTAGCATAAAAATAAAGGAGAAAGAAACTATAGGGAGTTATAAAAAAAAAAAAGGAAGGAAGGAAGGAAGAAAACTCACAGGCAAGTGCAAGTAAAAGACAGTATGATGAAAAATGTAATTAAAAACATAACAATCTGGAATTAAATTCTCAATCAAGTGATCTTGATTGAGGAGGTGGCATGAGCTGGGGTGAAGTGGATGTGGTGGGAGGATGAGAATAAAAGAGCAAGAGATTAATTATTAAGAAAAAGATATGTTCCCTGACTAATTCTCAACACTGATAGAAAGATGAAAGTTTAAATAGGTGTGTAAAAAGTTAAGGAATGGAACCACAAGAGGGAAAGACAAAGTCCCTGAGGTACACGGGCGGCCGGAGGAGCTCCCTGAGCAGGCAGAGGACAGGGCAAACTGATCCTGATTAGAGGAGGAACACCCTTGTGGGCATGTGCTGCTGCCACCAGAACTCTCCGAGATAGGGGAGCTTCTTTTAGTACTGGAGTTTCAGCCAGGCCTACAGCTGAGCAATGGGCCTCTGTGGAGCTGTCCAGGGTCCTGGATTGCTTGGGTCTGAAGCCTTCACCTTTGTCTCAGCTTCCTGCTCTTGCTGAAAAGACGGCCCTGGACTTCATCCACCTCTCCTGGTCACCAGCTGTCTAGACCCATGCCCACATACCCTCAAGCATGCCCTATATCTTTTTCCAGTGTCCCTGTGCTGAGTCTGACTCTGATCAGGCCTCGTTCAGTTAAGACTCTGCCTCCCTTTCCCCACTTTAAGTAGACAATAATGGTACAGAGGTGTGGGTTGACTCTTGCCTGCTGAAAGGAAGAAAAATGAAGCTAAGGCCCCCCAGACTCCAATGTCCCCAAAGCCAGGCCTCGTTCAGTTAAGACTCTGCCTCCCTTTCCCCACTTTAAGTAGACAATAATGGTACAGAGGTGTGGGTTGATTCTTGCCTGCTGAAAGGAAGAAAAATGAAGCTAAGGCCCCCCAGACTCCAATGTCCCCAAAGACTAGGAATACCCCACTCTCCCTTTCCACCCTCCTCAGCCCAGCCAGTGTGCCCCAACCACTTCCAGGGACAGCTGTCACCCATTCATTGACCTACCGTGAAAAGCACGGTATGCAGAACCCACACAGGCTGAGTTGGCTGTGTCTATGACATACACTGGGGCACTAAACACATCTGCTAGCACCTGAAAAGAACACAGAGGTTTTACTGTGGTGAGTCACTCCTCAGAGGGAACATGGATATTTTGGGATGCAATTTCTAGGCTCTCCTTCCTCATATGTTTTCTGATCCCTTCCATTCCACCTCTGCAGCCTTAAAAGAAGCACACCTGGCCATGCTTCCCTGGTGATAACATAGGCAGGATGACCTGGAGGAAGTCCCTAGTGGAGGGCCACAGCTCTCCAGGCTGTCCTTGTACTTTATAACCATTTTATCAAAAACAAGACTGAAGATTTAGGAAGTAGGCTTAGCAAATGGCACTGAGTTAGAGCTGGGGTTAGCTGGGCATCAAACTAATATTAATAAGCCCAAGCAAACACAAACTAACAAGGGAATATTTTATGGGTATAATAATGAAGTTTTACATTTAGGACCAAAAAATAAATTAGAAAAGTTTAGAATGAAGGAGCTATATAAAGAGGAGTTCACATGGAAAAGACTTGGGGGAGGGTCTTACTTGATCAGGTATACTGTAGTAGATGCCATTGATGTCCCACCTGGATACCCTTTGCTGGACCGGTGTGCACCCCTCCCCCAGCTGCTATGAGTACTGGCTGCTAATGGCTCACAGAACTCTCTCCTCAAGAGAATTGACCTTGGTTGAACAGAGGCCACCTCTTATAGGAGATTATAATCACCCCTCCTCAGGGCAACCAGCTGGCTCCCAGTTCCCAAGGTAGAACCAACTCTGCTGTGTAATTCATGCTCCAGATCTCCTTGTGGGATGGAGCTGAAACAGACTCTAGCCAATACCACATCCTTGTCACCATTCTTCCCTGGCCTTATCCTGAGTCCCTCGCTCCTTTCCTCCTGGTAGCACTCTCTCAACAAACTACTCATAGAAGAATTCCCACTTCAGGCTCTGCTTCTATAGAATCTTACCTAAGCCAGGTATACCACAAGTCAACAGTTGATACAGTACTTGAACAGCTAAAGTAGCCTCAGGCTGCATCCAAAAATGCACAGTGTCACCATAAGAGGACCTCATGGTCCCACGATGTAATAGCCTGTGTGTCGGACATCTGCACGTTGATTCCAATTTTGGTCATATAAGTCTAGCATAATAGAGGACCAGAAGAACAGTAACAAAGTCTGGCAACTGTGTTATAAGAGGAATGGTGGCAGAATCAGAAATAGTTAAATAGGATGGGAGAAGCCTTCAGGAAGACAAGGCTGGCATTAGATGTTGGAAGGCTTGCCATGTGGAAGGACAGGCACTTTCCATGTGACTCTGAGGCCAGTACTGGTATCAGAGTGGATTGTGCAGGGCAGTAGAATTCACCTGGAAATAAGACAGAATGTGCTCACAGTGTGAGCTGTAAGAAAATAGAGCTGCTTCCTAGAGGTTATGAGGTTTGAGCTCCCCATTCCTGAAGGGGTGGAAACGGAGGCAGGCCATCCTGCTGATTCTTTGGCTCTTAGATGTAACAGACATGGAAGAGGCTGCAGGGCACGGCCCCACTACCAGCTCTTACCTGTAAGATGTCTCTATTGTGAGATGCCCCTCCAGTGGCCAAAATCTTTGTCTTGGGCACTGCAAGGAAAAGGAGAAAATGAAATTGTTGTGGCAATTCCCCTAAGGCAGAAAGGCTGTTTTCCAGAGTTCTTCAACCACAGAGATCTTATGATAGGCCAATGCCTCCTGCTTTTCACACAGGACTGGGGGAAAGATCTGAAGCTGGCTCTGTCCATGCAGTCCTGCCACATGTCATTTGCTTCTGTGGCTGCTGCTCCATCCACCTTTACTGTCTTATTTTATTGTTCTTATTATTTTTTATTTTTTTGGTGGCTGGCCAGTATGGGGATCCGAACCTGTGACTTTGGTGTTATAAGGCTGTGTTCTAACCAACTGAGCTAACTGGCCAACCCCTACTATTATTATTTTTAAATCTCTCAACAAACCAATAACAGAAGGAAGATTCCTTAAATTGATAAAGGCCATATAGCCAAAACTTACAAAAAACATCATTTTTTTAAAAAAAATTTTTATTGATTACAATAGCCACCAAAAAAATAAAATACTTAGGAATTGAGCTAACTAAGGATGTGAAAAATCTCTATAATGAGCACTACAAACCACTCCTGAGAGAAATTAGAGAGGATACAAGAAGATGGAAAGACATCCCATGCTCTTGGATTGGAAGAATCAATATAGTGAAAATGACTATACTACCCAAAATAATATACAAATTCAATGCAATCCCCATCAAAATTCCAATGACATTTCTCTCAGAAATGGAAAGAACTATACAGACATTTATTTGGAATAATATAACAAAAGACCATGAATAGCCAAAGCAATGCTGAGCAAAAAAAATAAAGCTGGAGGCATTACTCTACC